AATAAAGGTACGTGTGGTGTTAGTGTAGTGCATAGTCAAGGCTCAGTAAGTGACTCTATCTAGGGAACGATAGCACAAGCGGCTAACTTGCAATGAATTGTAATTGTTGCGGAAGAGCTCAGCATTTCAATTCAAAAAATATCCAGTAAGGCAATTAAAGCTGTACAGCTTGAAATAAATTCTTAAAAACGATACGCATTTTAAACAGCAGCAAAAGAATAGTTATTAGAGAGCTTATGTAGGCCTCGGTAACAAACGAATCTGTATCAATTATAGTGAGGGAAAGCTAGTACGTAAAACAACAGCATTTAGAAATAGTTTTGAAAAAAAAGTATAGTCTTTACAGACTCGCGCAAGCACCTGATTATTTATTTGTCGGAATTTTGATCGGAAAAGATGTTTCAAGAATTCAGAAAGGGTTCAAGACGGTTGAAAAGTGGTTTGCAAACCGACTATTGAATAATATATATATAGCCTCCTTTTCCTTTCTACAACCATTTAATAAAAATAAACTTTGCTGTTATTTATTATATTATGGATTTTAGTTTAACTGATAAATACATTCAAGCAAATAAATTAAATATTCTTAAGGCCAATAGTTATAACAAAACATATTTTATATTTTTAATTTCTTTTCTGAATCCAGTTTTTCTGATGTCCGATGTAAGCCAATATTAGTCGCAGTGTGATTAAAAAGATACCCACAACTGCGCTTGACAAAAAGTGGACTTCAGCTAGATAACATTTATAGCGTATTAATTTTTTTAAGCTTACCAACAGAGAGTAATGGTCTGAGTTTAAAACTCCTTGAGTTATAACTTACCTGAAATGATAACAAAAGAAAGTTTAGATAAAATATGTAAATATCATTAACTAAGAAGCAGTTGTTCAAATTAAATTAATTAAAGTCCTCATAAGGATGTATTGAAGTATTGTATTATTTACAACTAAATTTTAAATATTAATTTAGCAAATCTGAAAAATAGAATTTGTAAATTTTTGTTATCATAATATTCAAACATATTTGTAGGCATAGGACATTGGTCCGCTTTAACTCCTCACTCATATATTTAATTACAAAATAATAGTTTTCCTATTACACAAAGAGAATACTGAAATGTAAATGGCCCTTAGGCAGACGTTAAGCTGAGTGTCTGTTCAGGCTAAGCAGACGAATGCATAACAAGTTTGTAACTAAGGAACAACATTGAGTGAACGCTAAGACCACCAAGAATTAAGCACGGATATTATTTATAGTCAAAGACAAGGTGTTGACACTGAGCTAGCCCAGTTGTTGCAGAATAAGCGTCAATGCTGAGCTAAGACACTTAAAGTAGTAGAAGTAGAAGTAATAGTAGTAGCAGACAACCATTTACCCATCTAGCTGCGAACTACTTTAGCGTGTAGTTTATTTAAATTAAACCTTTTTAGTAACGCTTTTGCGCTTTTTTTTCAATTAACTTTCTGGGCCAGCCACAAAGATACAACAACAACAAAAACAACAATAGCAACAACAGCAGACAGAACCATAGAGCGTAGAGCGTTGAGCGTCGAGACAATCTGCCACGTCCAACAGCAGCTGTTGTGCGAGTAAGTTGATGATAATGATGATGATGTTGATGATGATAGCACTTGCGGCGACGCCCAATAAGAAGTCTAACAAATTGCAAAATCCACGCCAAGCCGCACCTTGTGCAAACAACAAGCAACTGGCCTGGTCTGGCCTGGCCTTGCAGGTACTCGTACTTGAATATAGCTCACTATCCACTATCCATGAGCGCACAGTGCGTATACTTAACGTAAAACCCTAAACCACTAAAACCACTAAAGAAAACAAGCAAGCAACGCAGACGACGTGCGACCAAACCGACAAACGACAAGCGACCAGCCAACGCCATTTGCTTGGCTTAATGCTCGAGACTTTGCTCAAGTTTGCTTTTGGGGCCCTCTTGATGGCCTGACGGAAGGCGACGGATGCGGCCAGAGCGGCAAGAACTGTGCGACATGGGGTGGGCGCTTCTTGTGGCATTTTCTAGCCAACGTAGCATTTTATTTAAACTGCAGTTAATTTTCACTAAAACATTTTAATTGTATTTTTGTAATCTGTCTTTTACTAGTTTTACACATTTGCCCAAGCAGACGCTGACGTTTGGTCTGCCTTAGTCTGCCTTGGCCTGCTCTGGCCGGCCCAACGCGCCGCCTTTGCCATCAACTTGGGCACAAACACTTAACAGTTGCGGCCAAAATGGCACAGCCACTGCCATTTTTAATGCAATAAAAGTCAACTTAAAATATGCAAATTACGGTAGTTTCAAATTTGTGCAAGCTGGTGGCATGGCAAGACAGTAAAACGACGATCCAAACCAAAGAATGCCTACACTGAACGAACCACACACAATTGCCAGACACTCTAATTACATTTGTTGAAGGAATGGCGTAAAAGTGGATAAGAATTTCATTATTTCGAAATAAAATGGACTGACCTATACAGTTTTCGAGCTATCTTTTTAAATATGCATCTAAATTAAATTGAAATACAACGAATACTTAAATTAAAGCAACATTTAAACGAACACATTTTCTATCACAGTTTTTCTGACAAAGAAAGATTGCGAGTTTATTTCATTTGTTAATATCATAATCCACTGTCAAATGAACAGGTAAATCCATATAAGTAAATAAATATGCAACAATGCAGTTAGCATTGACCACTGACTCCAGTTCTAGGCTAACAATCGATTTATTTAATAAGATAGTTTGATTAATTAACGCAGAGTTTAAAAACAATTTTATTTGCCCGAAGAAACATCTTCAAACTGTTTTATTTTAGTTACTTCTCTGAAAATGTATAAATATTTTGTTTTCTGTAGTTTATTGCAAGCAAATTACTTTTCCTTTCACGTATATTCCCCGCATAAAACATTAAAAACATTGACAATGTACAATAAGTTAGATTTATTTAGCTGTGAAGAACAAAAAAAAATTTATTTAAATATGTGTTCCTGTCCTGTCTTTTTCTCTAATTTTAACTTAAGCAAGATTAACTGCCTTTTTTATATTTTTATTATTATTTATTTTCTTTTTAAAATATTGTTACATTGTTATTACATTTACAAATTATTACTTAATTTATTTATTTTTATATTATTATTATTATTATATTATTTATTTATATTTTATTTATTTTTTGAAAGTAGATTAATTTTGCAGCATCAAAAGCAATACAAGTTTTCAATCCTTTATATCATTCAACCAATGAAATTGTTTACTTCTGTCACTTTCTTTCTCTCGGTGTAAGTGAAGCTCCAACTCCTTGTCATCTGCCTGCTGCGCAGTGTCATTAACATTGCTCTGTTTTGCTCTAGTCGGCTGCTCTGGCAGCTACTTGGCCATGGATTTTTAATTGTGTCGAGCTGGGAGCACTCTGAGCTTGACCTCAGCCTGGTCACGGCTGGGGTATTCCTGTCGGCAACTTCTGGGACTTCAGCTTCTTTGAAGTTGCCTAACATTAATGTATATTAGTGTCACAATAAATTAAAAGCATTTCACTGTTCATATTTCTTGCGTTATATTTCAAGAGATTTTCAATTAAATCTAATTGCAACTACTTGACTGCAAGAATGGGCTTTTTAGAATTTAAATGAATTCCAGAAATATTTGAAATGAAATAATGCGAATGGGAGAGAGAGAGAAAGAGAACGAGAGAAGGCGGAGAATCATTTTAATTAGCTGCATTTAGTAATCAAATATGCCCCAAAACTCAAAAGCAAAGTCCCAACACTTAGCGGAAAACCCACTGCGACTTTTAACAAAATCCACTAATGAGGCATATCGCGTTACTGCAACTACAAATTTAGAGCTGCTTTGTCAAATAACACGCGCTTCAATAGCTAAGGCAACAAAAACAACAACAAACGAAGCACAAAGCTTAACAAAAGCATGGATGGGGCGAGGTTGCGGGTGCGGGCTGAGAATGAGAATATGGCGGGATGGCAGGTTTCCGTAAGCAGCTTAGCGCAAGGTGTCAAGTTTAAAAATCAATTACTTCAAAGTATTACAGCAACAACAACAACAACACACACACACCCCACCAAGCCAAGTGGGGTCCCACCTGACGACCCCCACAGCAAAAGTTTCCCTCACGCTAACGGGGCGTGAAATATTTTTAATATTTGCGACGAAAACGAACGAAGCATTCAACAAGCACGATGGAGGGGCGCCACAACGACGCAAATCAATGAAACACAAGCTGTGCTGTTCTTTTTTCATAAAATTTAAGATTTATAAACAATACAGTACAATCAATAATATTGATATTCAGCTAGAAGATTGTTTTTTAAATGCGCTTTGAAACTATCTACATATATTATTCTCCAGAAACAGTAAAGGCTGAGTTTTGGCAACAACATTTAATTATTTTGCGAATATTAAGATGCTTGTGAATCTAGGGTTATTTTTCTTATTTAAAAATAAACATAATAAATAAAAATAAAAATAATTTTAAAATTAAATATATGTTTACTTTACAAAAATAATTAATGATATTAGGAAATATTTTTATAATATCCAACTCAAAGAGCGCTTGTTTTTAGAAAGAAACCTTCTTAAAGGTAGGGCTAGTTACCTTTAAAGCCGATTTTCTACATATTTGTTTATGTTTACCCAGCTGTAGTTAATTTTTTGTGTTCCAGTCATTACCAAGTCTTTAATAGCAACAACTAGTGGACATTTTCCACCGAAACATGACTTTTGCTAATATTTTATTTCAACTACATGCTTCACAGCTATTAATTTGTAGCTATTACTAGAAAAGGCAACTACGCATTTGTTTGTTGAACCGCACACCTAACTGTTACATACGCTTACCAAAAAAAATAATATGCCTTTATCAGTCCGAAAAAAGAAAACCACTGAAATATGTAGAACGTGAATGAAAGGCGCAGCGCGTGTTTTGTTCAGAACTTAAATTACGCATGGAATGGCGATATGCTGGCACGCACAGAAGCCCACGCAAGTATTCGCACAGCCATAGCATTTGATTGATGAAGCTGCCTCAGATTGTGGGTGGCGTAGGTTCGAGGCGTCGACTATGGACGGCACGGATACTGCAATGTTAAACACTAATGGCAGCTTATATTAGATTAGAGTCAATGAACGCAAACGACCAAACGCTGGGCAATCTGTTTGCCGGAGCTATAGAGGGGAGTGCGAGTGGGTGTGGGTGTGAAGCGTGCCGTCGCATTTGCCATTTCCTGTTTCCGTACGAATTTTATAGCATACTTTTCGGGGATGGCGCAAAGTTATGAGCAACTTGATAGAAATGGCCACTTGAATTTATTTAAACAACTCTGCAAAGGTGCGTCTGATTACAATTATTTGGCTTGGCACACACACACTTTGGCTGACCAATCGTTGTCGTATCAGAATAAAATCAACTCATAAAAACCGCACACAAAGCACATAAATAAGATTTATTGCTATACTTGTAGTGCGAGTAGTACACACTAGTATGTACATTACATAAATGGGCAGGCATGGCATGGTGGTAGTACAAACGCTCGGTGTTAAATTAAACGTAAAAATTATACTAAAAATTAAATACAAATATTTGGTTAGAGCAGAGTTTGTTGCTTTTGCTGCTGGTGTGCCTGCCTGTTCTCATTATTGTGTGGCTAGCATGCTAGGCACACACAAAACACCTGAAAACACACACACGCGCGCATACAAATCATACACCCACTCATTCAACTGGAGGGACACGCCCAACTACAAAACACGAATATTTATACACAATTTCATTCCATGCTTGATGTTATGTGTAATTGTGTGTGGGTGTGTGTGTGTGTGTGCGAACCGTGCCACGTCAGCTACAAGGCTTCACATTGTGGAATTTCATGGTTACAAATACTTAATGTAGAGTTAATTATTACATAATCACTAACGTGCACGACACCGCACCGAATACGAACAGCAATCCGAAACACCCGACTTATTGGAGCAACCCTTCTAATCAGACAAACTTACTATGGGTTCCCAGGTAGAAAGTTTTAAATAAATTCATTATTTAATTCAATTTCTTCTAACAATTTAAATTCTAATGACTTATTACAAAAAATTGACTAATTGCCATATTTAGCATATATAACAATATATTTTCATAGAAAGTAAGTAGCAGGCAAAATTATAAAACAATGCATAACGAATTTAATGCTTTTAGTGAATCATAAAAATCAATATTTCATATTGTCGAAAACCAGTATGCTTTGGAATACGAGAAGTAAGTATATTTCTTTTCATTCTGCTTTTAATTAAAGCACTGAAGGGAACAAAAAATAGCTATTTAATTAACATATTCATTGAAGCACATACATTTTCATAATATTAACAATAACTTAAACCGACACATTTAGTAAATAATTCATTCGCTTTGTGCTTAACTCTAATTGGCATTCTGCTTTGAAAAAATATTAGTTCCAGATGAATTGTGATTGAGAAGCAAAAATTTGCTGAAATAAATTTTATCTAAAAAAATCATTTCTATATTGCAATGATAATCGACGAAACACATTCTCCTGTACAAAGTGTAATTTATTGATAATAAGCCCTCCTTTGGCCACTTTTCCATAGCAGTGCCAAAAAAAATTTCATTACTTAACAAAATCAGCTTGGGAGAGAATAGGAAGAACATACAAACTTCTTACTCCCACGTAGAACACTAATTTCTTTACTCCACTTTAAACTTGAAGACCTTACGATCAAACATTCCTCACTTTTATAAACCATACTTATAAAACAGTTACTACATCTGTAATGAAATGGCAACAAGAAAACACCTTTTTAATCTTCAAAATATATAAACATTTGCTCAAGTTATAATCCTTCCATTTCCATAGTATTATAGAGTAGCTCCAAGACAAGTACATTGACTCGCTTGGAAATTGTATGCCAGAGGGAAGTCATTGTCCATGTTTATATCCATTTTTTTGTCGTATGTTTGTTGCTCATAAATATTTATGTGCACAATAAATTATAAAACCAGTATACAAACATTTCTGAAATAAGTGCTGGCATGCGTCAAAGGATTGCCCCAGCCGGACCCACAGATATGACCCACATCCCAAAGAGCTTTGCATGAAATTTTTATGCCTTTAAGGGGAAAAATTGAATTGATTGCAGGTACTAGTTCTGGCAGACAGCTGTAAAACTATTGACTAAATAATAGCGTTGCCATTGGCCAGACGAGGGCGTGTATAGTATGCGTCCTTATTATATTTTAAATTGCTCCGAATGCTATTATTTTTCTATTTATGTTCCTCATGCGTGTCCGAAAGGCTTATGCAAGTCTGGCCACTTACCTATGCCGCATGTTACTGTAAATGCAATGTTTTCAGTTAATTGCTCGTTGATTGAACCAAAACAAACATTAGATTATGTAGATGGCTGGTTTAAGGAATACACTAATGACTTTTACGCTTTTTTTTTCCACAGACAACGGCTTTTTCTGGTTCTTAATTATAGTTTTTATAGTTCTTTAGCGTTAATTAGATGCAATTAGATATCAGATAGAGTTATAATAAATGGAGCAGCTAATTTGCAAGATTTGTTTGATTGACGTGCTATAAATAATTGAAGGGGGCTGGGTACAATAAATATCATGACCCCTAACTATAATTGCAATCAAAACAGTAAATCAAATTAACACACAATGCCTTTATGATTGTCAGCCTAGATTTTATTTACTGCGCAGCTATTATTGGCTAAAAAAGATAAACAGTAGACTTGAGGGAGGCTAAGGTTTATTGCTCTAGAGCAGCCACTTCCAAATAACCTCTCAGAAAATTGGGAAAAATGTAATCTTTATAGCTTTAAATTAGTAGAAAATATTGCTCAAATTCAAAAATAAAAGCCTTCTTTCGAACATTGAAAAATAAACTGCAAAAATTGAAGTCGCTTTAAAGTTTTTAGTGCCAACTGCACATATTCTTTTATATAGACACTTATATTCCGTGCAGGTAGTGAAAGATATGAAAAAGCTGCCAAAGAACTCCCATAAAATAACGAGTTTCAACCTATTTTATCGCATGAGACATGAGCCGACCATATGAGTACAAAGTGCCTTTTGGCTCAGACCACGCATCAACTCGAAAATTCACAACACGTTCGCATAAATTTTCTAGACCCTGTCTTGTCACCCGCACATCGTTTTGCACTGAAATTTTCTTATTAAAAACTGTGCCTATGCCACAGGCAAGGAGGTCCTTCCTTTCACACAGCCGTTCACACAAAAGTCTTTGTAATAAAAGTAAAATTTCTTCTTTGCTTGTTGCTGCGACGCGACGCCTTCGTTCTCCTTCCCTGCCTCTCAACATTTTGTATGTATTGTATAATAATAACATAAAGTAATTTATGGCAAATGAAAGTCACAAAAATGCGAACGAACAACGGCAACTCGCAGCAGCAGTAACGCCAACAACGAAAGGGCACAGCCAACAAGGAAGTTTTTGGCCAACAGAGAACCGACTGCGTCTGAAGGTTCGCTCAGTTGCCACTCCTTACATTTTGTTGCTATTGTGGTGTCATTGGTGCCACAGCAGCTGGCACTGCTAGTTGGCTTTTGCCTCAGCCTTTTCCACGTGCACGCCTCCGGTCCATGCAGCTTTAGAATGCTACAATGTTTTCTTTTCAGTAGACACTAGAGGAACCAGATACAGTGGTTAGTTCTCTAGACAAGACAGGAACAAACCACTTAATAATTTCAAGAATTAATTGAGATATTTGGAAAAGTTTAGCTTAACTGTTTGTTAAAATCAAAACTGTTAAGCAGATAATTTTCCAGACATTACTGTTCTAAGCTGCGTATTTAAAACTATCAACAAGCAAGAATTATCTCTGCTTAAATTAATTTAATTTTATTAAATTAATCAAATAAAATATTTGTATGTCTTAAACTTTTTTTTAACAACATTCTTGAATATAAAAGCAAATAGAAAATAAATATTCGAATCTTTGCAAAAACGCAATGAAATTAGAGCCATAGATGTATAAAAATTATATAAAGTTTCCATCTTTGTCATACAACTACTAGAAAATCATAATAATCTTATAAATAAAATACATAAAATACAAAATATAAAGCTGTAGCTATTGGAAATTGAAAATTAATAGTGTTTAAAAATTAAGTAATGTTACTAGAAATAGCAGACATACAAGTATGTAATTACATTTTTGAATAAGCTTAAGTTTGATGAAAATTAATAATAATTTATAAAATTAAGTAATGATACTAGAAATATCACGCATATGTAATGAATTGTTTGAATAAGATTAAGTAAGATTAAGAAACCGTTTTAAAGCGTTTGTGAAAATAATTCAATTCAATTAATTATATATTTAGTTATTATTATTATTAGTTATATTATATTTAGTTTTGATAAGACTTTCAATGCTGTTCGAAGAAATTAAGTAGCATATGCCTAGACATTTCACAAATGTTAATTACTGCATTATATATAAGTATTAAACGTCATATAACAAACCCTTAGCAAATATAAGTATTATTTAAAAAGCAACACCTTTGCCAAGCATCATTTTCCTAATTGAAAATTTAAAAAATTGAAAGAGGCCAGCATTTTGTGCAACATCGATCCATTTGCTTGAGACAGGCCATTGACTTGCATTTTAGAACGGACCACTGTAAGCCATTGGCACGGCTGCTGTTGCAGTAAACATACAAAGACAATACACACGCACAGACACACACACACACATGTGAAAAAGGACCTTAGCACATGTTACATTTACGCTGCTGCAGCAACGCACTACACAAAAAAATAAGGAAAAAATAAGCCAAAAAAAACTTTCATTTTCAATGGCTTTTCTTTGCTTTGAGCTGTGTCGCAAAATTTGCCGCTGCAATGGCAAAAATTTCATTCTTTTGTACAAGAGAGAGAACGAGGATGTGTGTGTGTGTGTGTGTGTGTGTGTGCCTGACCTGCACGACGTGCTTGTTGGTCTAGTAAAGAGTGTAGTCAACTTCAAGGCGTTTTGGAATTTTTCGGCTTTTGTTTTAAAAAGCGACAGCAGCGCGCAAATGCTTTGAATTTTAAGCGCGTGCATTTGATGTTGGCGAAATTGCGCGGCAAATTCTATGCTTATGCACAAAGGCAGGACAAAAATGCAACAGCAACAACAATGACGACAACATCGCACTGCCGGCGCCTGCAGCCCAACGTAGTCGCAGTCGCCATTT